GGGCTGGGCTGGCGGCAGGCTGCACACCCCGCCCTGCTCACAGACCTGCACAGCCTGGGGCAAGCCTCAGATCCGGCAGCCAGGAAAGTCATCTCCACATTGGAGACCAGAGCGTCCCGAGGCAGCAGGAAGCCCCACAACGGTTTTATAGCAGCTTTTCAAAGCAGGACAGTATTTTGATTAACTGCTAAAATAAGGACAGACATAAATCAAGCCTCCAAAAAAGGGGAACTGTCCTTTGAACTTCTAGAGGCTCCTTCAGCCTGAGACTGGGAAAACGCTAATGAGACCAACACACTCTGTGAGGTCTGGCTCCTCCTTCTCCTTCTGCTTCTTCTTCTCCTTCTCCTTCTCCTTCTCCTTCTCCTTCTCCTTCTCCTTCTCCTTCTCCTTCTCCTTCTCCTTCTCCTTCTCCTTCTCCTTCTCCTTCTCCTTCTCCTTCTCCTTCTCCTTCTCCTTCTCCTTCTCCTTCTCCTTCTCCTTCTCCTTCTCCTTCTCCTTCTCCTTCTCCTTCTCCTTCTCCTTCTCCTTCTCCTTCTCCTTCTCCTTCTCCTTCTCCTTCTCCTTCTCCTTCTCCTTCTCCTTCTCCTTCTCCTTCTCCTTCTCCTTCTCCTTCTCCTTCTCCTTCTCCTTCTCCTTCTCCTTCTCCTCCTTCTCCTTCTCCTCCTCCTTCTCCTTCTCCTCCTCCTTCTCCTTCTCCTCCTTCTTTCCTGATCTTTGGGGGAATCTGGCTGAAGTTGTGAAGCACAGAGTGGAAGAAGAGGGACAAGATTACCTTGTGTCCTCACAGAGAGCAAGAACAGTGGGAACAGGAACTCCAGCCTCTGAGAGCGCCTTCAGGACCCTGCCAGGACGAGTCAGAGAGCTGTGTCAGCACAGAGAGGCACCAGGGAACCAACACCAGGTCTGCAACAGAGACCTTCTGGCTCTCAACAACTCCCTGAAAGGAAGTTTGAGCCAGGTGGGGCTCTTCTCCCAAGGAGCAAGCGATAGGACAAAAGGAAATGGCCTCAAGTTGCCCCAGGGGAGGTTGAGGTTGGAGCTGAGGAATGATTTTGTCCACTGGAGGGTTGCCCAGGGCAGTGGTGGAGTCCCCACCCCTGGAGGGGTTCCCAAGCCGTGGAGATGTGGGGTGAGGGACACGGGGCAGTGGGGACCTGGCAGTGCTGGGGTGATGGTTGGACTCCATGCTCTTACAGATCTCTTCCAACCAAAAGGATTCTGTGTGCCCTACCTGCGTGCTCACCAGCTGCAGGATGGTGGCACAGCCCCATCCCTCCATCCAGGGCTGCTCACAGTAGCTGTAGCAAACAGACAGCTCAGAGATGGGGACACAGAGCTGTGCCAAATGCAGGGGAGGACAAGGAGGGACGCTGGTGTGTGAACCGTGTGTGATGTGGAACAGAAAAGCCAAGGCTGGAACAGAGCATTGCCCTCGGGGTGGGGTGGTTGGAGCACAGCTGCCTCCTCACCTGTATTCCCTTCTGACAGCAGGGCCTGAGGGACAGGGGCTGTCAGAGGGCTCCTTCTTCAGCACCACCAAGTGATCTCCAAACCTGACCAGGTAGGTCCTGGCTGACTCTCCACGGCCAAACTGCCGCAGCACCGGCGGGGCTGAGGAGTGGAGAGCAGAGGGTCAGCAGAGAACCAGGAGCTGGGATTATTCCTCACCACTCCTCCAGGTTTCACCTCCCCTTCCCACACCTGGGTCTGCCCTTGCAGCAGTCAGGAACCTGCCCCTTGCCCCGTGTCCCACATCCCTGAGGAGCATGGCAACAGCTCCCCAGGCCAGGAATATTTCTGGCATCTTTCTGGCAACTTGTGCTCAGCTCCTTCCAAATGAGGAAATCCTCAAATGTTGTTTCCTGCTCTTGGGAAACAGTGACAGATCATTGAAACCTGACTGGCTGGGAGCCTCTCATGAATATTATTTGTCAATCCATCTGTCATAGGATGAAAAGAGCCAACAGCTCCAGAACATGTGAGCTCTCAGTGCTGCAATACCTGTTGCACGGCCACCAAGAACACTCTCAAGGTACTTTTGCAGATGATCTTTTGGAATTTCCATGTTTGGTCTCAATGCACAAGTATAGGGGACAAACCCTTGCAAAGGAAAACCTAGATAGGTTTCCAGCTCTTTGAGTGCTGCTTCTGTATCATCAACCTGAAAGCAAGAGGGAGAGAGAAACGCTGGGTGATAGTTAGAAGATAAAATTGCCTGGGAAAGAGCTCTGCATGCTTGTGATGCAGTGCCAGTCCAACAGCACTTGGGTTGAGCCTCCCTTGCCACTGCCAGCACTTGCTGAGCCTCCCACCTTGGTCTCTGTCCCAGAGATGTACCCATTATGGTGGCACAGGCACTGGGAGCTTGGGCTGTGCTAAGAGCTGGAACTCCCTGTGTGCCACCCAGGGGAGCTGAGTTCACCCTCCCCACCAGTCCCCTGCTTGTCCTTCCCACAGTGAAGTAAAACCCCCATGCTCACTATCTCCACAGCATGGGCATTAACCAGTCAGTCCCCAGCTGACAGACCCCTCAGAGCTTCTAGAACTTTATTCAGTAGATCTTATTTTGTCACATTAGGTGGAGGTGGTTGTCTCAGCCATATGGTCAGGGCTGTTTCTTTCACAGAGAACTGTGGTCCATGAAGGAGAAGTGATTTCTCCAAGGTTACACTGGCTGTAGGGTTTAGAGCCATGAATGAAACAGTCCAGAGCAGACTTTGCCAATAACCCTCCCCTTTAACCCCACCACATCCTGCAGGAACAGGGACAGGCTGAACCAGAAGCGTTGGCAACGTGAGTCTGCCACCACCATGTGTAAATCCTGAGCCATTCAAGCCAAACACAGCTTCTGGACTTGACAAAAAACCCATCCCAAGCCCACCCTGGCTGCCTTGCTTTGTACCTTCACTGTTTTAATGCCAAGCTGGGCTGCTGCTTTTAGGTTCTGGCTGCTGTGGTCGAGGTAGATGGATTCCTGGGGCTGAACGCCCAAGCGCTCCAAGCACAGCTTGTAGAGACGAGGGTCTGGCTTCTGCATCCCCTCCTGGTAAGATTCAACCACCTACAGCAGCAACAGAGGGGTTATGCACGAGCCTGCTGTGACCACAGACATCTGTGCAGTGTTGGGAATGGAGGAGGGGAGGGTGGAAGGAGACTGACAGTCTAATTAACATGTGAAATAAAGGACAGAGGGAATGACAGAGCTGGAGAGGACGTGGCTCAGTGCCAGCTGCCTTGGCCATGCTTCTCTCAGCTCAAAAAAGCTCAACAGGATCAGCCAGTGCTCAGATGGAAGGTATCCATCGAGATGTCCCAAGGTGGGATGTTCATTGGATGTCCCAGAAGGTGCTGAACCAACTGCTCAACCCTCTCCAAGAAAGCCTTGGGGGGCACCAACTCCCAAAGGAGCTGGAGGAGCTGTGCCCTGACCATCACACCCACCGACCATGCCAATGCCATCTGCACAGCAGCAGGGACCTGGATCATAATCCCCTGCCCAAATTTGGATCAAAAAGTCTTGAGTCAGCCTCTGAACACTCACATTGCCCTCACAACCATAAAAAATTCAAGCAGTATTTCACCCTTGCACTGACAGACTCTCCTGGAATAGAAATGAATCTATTAGATGGATCTAAAAGCCAATGCTAATGGAAATCCACATTCAATTAATTTTTTTTCCCCCACTAATTGCTGTACAGGGCTGTTGCCTGCTGTTACAGAGGAGCCACACTGCCTGAGTGATGACAGCAGATAGACCATGGTTATTAAAGTACTTTGAAACAGTCTGGGATGAAAAGTACCACAGAGCATCACAACAGAGCATCACTCCACCAAGAGACACTCGCAGGCACCGGTGTCACGAGTGTAACCCACAAAAAGCTGAGCTGGGAGTGATGCCACCCTGACAAGGTGACTTTAAACAGTCCCAGGCTTTAAATGCATCCATATGACTCTGCTTTGCATATTTTGTTGTTTGAATCAAGGCTATAAACCAAACTTAAGCCATGAATAAAGCCCTGAAGTTTAAAGATGTGAACGGAGGCACACGAAAGAGCAAATTTTCAGTGGTGCTGAGCTGAGCCCTCACAGCTGCCTGGCAAAGTGGAGCCATGTGAACCAGTGCAGTGGGGTTTTTTTTTGTAGGATAGGGGATGTTTTGCCATTCTTTGGGCTGAAACAAGCTTTAAAAGAGTAAGGATGAAAAATAAAGCAAGCAGGGGCACTGAGTAATAACCTGAGGGTGCCTAAGCCTGGAGCAGCTGCCCAGAGAGGTGCTGGAGTCTCCTGCTCTGGAGAGATCCCAGAGTCACCTGGATGCCATCCTGCGCACCCTGCTGGGGGTGAGCTGCTGGAGCAGGGGGGTTGGATGAGATGATCTGCAGAGGGCCCTTCCAACCCCCACCCTGCTGGGATTCTGTGATCTATTTCTTGTGTAGTGTTCCAGCCTTTAAATCCTTTATCAGCATCTCTAGCTGTGCCTGTTACACATACTCTTGTGGTTGTGTGGGCATTTTGCAATGAATTTTCAGATGCATAAGTAGCTGCCACTCACTCAGATCCTCTCCAAGGCCCAGTCACTACAGGAATTATGCCAAGAAACATTTCACAGGCTGTGAGATTTATTGTCTGTTATCACATGCTGCTGGTCGCCGTTCATTTGCTACTTGCATGTCAAGAATTTCTGTTGTTGCTTTCTACAGGCCTAGGTACAGAAAGACTTTTTGGAATCCCTCCAGGCTTACCACATCAAAGAGCTTTTGGTCCAGGGGCAGAGAGCTCTCTCCATTCAGCAGGGAGAAGCTGTTGCTTAGAAGAGCTGTCTTAAGACCTTCTGCACGGATACACTGTACTGCTTCTGCCATTATGGGGAGCTGTTTTATCATCTCATTTCTGATTAAATCCCAGAGAAAAGAGTCCACTGGAACACAGACCTTTGCCTAAGAAACCAGAGAAGCCCCCCCAAGAATGATAATTAGCCATAAATGGTTTTTAAGCAGGGATGAAAATAAGTGTGGCTGGGTAGGCAGGTTGCCTGATCATCTTATCTTCCTGTCCTACTTCCTCTGGCAGAGGAAGGCAGCCAGTGAATCTCTTTGCTTAGACCAAATAAGCAAGTGCTCTCAGGTTACTAATTCTCCAGAAGCAGCAGCAGCAGCAGAGATGAAGGACTGGCCTGGGGAGAGAGAAATGCACTGGGGCTGTGTCTGCCACGGAGTCAAGGCTGCTCAGAGATGAACACTGCTTTAGCATTCAGCAGGCAGGAGAGGAAGCTGTGCTTTAGACTGAGCTGGTTCAAAAAGACTTTATTCAGAAGAGGATTCTTGCACTCTGTTCCTGGAGCTGTGGTGGAGGGGCTTCTGCTGATCTTAAGAACCCTCCCCAGAGACTGTGGTCTCCATTCATTGAGCCTGTCCTTGCACAAACTAGCAGCAAAAGCCTTTCAGCTGGTCTCTGACTCTGATTCCTCATCTCAGCTGATCCTAGAGGCACCTTGAAATCAAGAAGTTATGAAATATGCAGGAAGGGGCTGGTGGAAGTGAAGGCAGACTCATTTTACTATCCTGTCTGAGTACCAGAATGATGATGGCAATGAAAAGTCTGCACTCCAGAGCCTTCCACCACGGGGTTTCTTTTAAAAGCTCCTCTTTCCTCACTGAACCACCCCACTGCAGGAAGCACAAAGAGCAGAGGGTGGAGCTGCCTTACAATCTCAAAGCACTGCTGTCCCAGTTCCTGCAGAAACTCCACAGCTGTCAGCTCTCCTCTTGTGTACTTCTGAGCAGGACTGTTTTCCCCCCCAGCAAGTACAGCCCGCTGGAGGGTGCCAGCTTGAATGGAATTCTGAGCCTCCCAGTCTGCAGAGAGAAAAGTGAGAAAGCCAGGAAAGAGCACACAGGCCATCATCAGAACGGGGAAATCAGCTTGAAATCCCTCTGAGGTTGGGTACAAACACCAGCCCTCACAGGGAATGACACGCTGGAGGACTGGGTTAATCTACCCTGACACAGAGAGAAGTTTGGGCATTCCCCCAGATGAAGCACCTCGCCTCTGTTTTGGGTGTGGTACCCTTGGGAAGTGCTTAAAGTGTGCTGAAGGACTGTACCAGTGTTGGGTGGTATCATCAGTCCATGCCAATAGGCTGAGGTTGTCCCTGAGGAACAATTTCTTGCCCTGGAGGGTTGCCCAGGGCTGTGCCAGGCTGCCCAGGGCAGTGGTGGAGTCCCCACCCCTGGAGGGGTTTCCAAGCTGTGGAGATGTGGGGTGAGGGACACGGGGCAGTGGGGACCTGGCTGTGCTGGGGGAAGGGTTGGACTCAATCTAAAAGTCTCTTTCAACCCAAATGATTCATTCTAGGGCAGTTTTATCACCAGATGGGTTCAGGCCCTGCGCTGTTGATGCAGCTGCTGGTCGCCATCAGTTCTACTCCTTCTGATGGCACAATGAGGCACCACCAACATCACCAGAAGTTCTCCACCACCTCACCAGAAGCAGAAGCAGCTGAGAGGGACCCCTGAAATCTACCATCCCCACCAGGCACGGGAAACAGCAGGAGCAGATGAGAGATGACAATACCCACCGGCGGCTGCCTTGTGGGGGGCCGGGAGCAGCACCCCGCTCGCCTCCAAGATCACAGCTCTGTAGCAGCAGGACCCAGCAGGGTGGCAGCTCAGCCCCCACGGGCACTGCCAGCCCCAGGCCTGGCACAGGGACACGGCACGGGCGGCTCTCCTCAGGTACATCCTGCAGAGCCTGGCCGAGGAGAGAGGCTGGGACATGTCAGAGTGGCTGTAAGACGCTGGAGTTATCTAGATCATCCTTTATCCTTCACAGACAGCTCCATGCCATGAAGCAATGTCCTTATTTCCAGGGCAGGACATAAATTTAGTCTTTTATTTAAGGATAAGCCATACCCAAGCATGGAAGACACCAGCACGGCTGGCGTGAGGAGGAAGGAAGAAGACAGGGGGTTATTTGGATGATGGTGATAATTATTATGATTATTTTAGGGGGGTGTTTTAGCCTAATGGAATAGATCTCTTCAGTGTGGCTGTGTTGCCATGGTAACAGGGCCTGGCACTGTG